ATAGAATACGTTGATAACAGCTGCAGCGTCCCAAGATATACACGCAAAATTTCCAAACCTCATCAAACCAAGCACGGTATTTCAAAAGTAAGTTAGTAGTAACTTATACAGGAAGTTATAACCTGGCAAACGTAAGACTGTCGGGGCCGAACCTGAATATATGCAGTAGTTGAGTGTTGTCCGTTCGTCTAGTGGCCAGTGGGAATCACCTCCACATACAGTCTCGTAAATAGATGAAGGTGATAGGAGACCATGCAGAAATTGTAAATCCCTTAACCGTCGAACCGTACCAGGTAGGTGTTCGGTACTTCACATCCAAGATTTTACAGACGGCCTACAGAGTACAATCATATTCACCAAAAATGATCGAGGACATATCACAATACTCTGGGTTGTTGGAGCTTGCGCGCATGACATCCGTACTGAGAGACGCGGTACAAAAGTTTAAGATGCTTTTGAACGACTTGCTTCGAGATATGCCCTTTGCACGAGGGCATATTGATAAGTTTTTGATCGACGGTCTTGATTTGAAATTACATGAATAACATGTGAGTCGGATTAAAGTAATCAGGTAAAAATGAAAGAGGCACACCAACATAGGTGTTTTCGGAGTTCAAACTCTGAGACTTACTGAATGACTTCTGTACTTTAATGGGGTGAAGGTCCAGTGATTGGAGGCACTCCGGCGAGACTATAATTTGCCTTTAGAAGAGAGCTACCCAAGTTGTATTCGTAGTCTGCAACATGTTTTAGATGGACTATTTTGCACTTTGAAGTATTAAAGGTAATTCCGTCTGCTCAATTTTGAAGTCGAGTGAGAACTTCCTGAAGTGCCAAATTATCCTCTTAGTTCCAAACTTCTCCCTGGAGTCTCATATTATCAGCGAAGAACACTAAACCCGATGATGCCTGTTTCGGAAAATCGCTTACATAAACGGCTTATGTTTGGAAATTTGAACCCGTAGTTGGTCCCATAATTTGCTAGGTCAAGCATTTGGCTTTCGTTAGAAGAACTAATAAACTCTCCCGGCCCTCTTAATGTTGCTTAAAAGGCTTTTTCTGCTGCCAAAATATGTGAATTATATTTGACAGCTGTTCTTATTCCTAACATAACGGCAGGAATTCTGTCCATAAAGTGGGGTCTGACCGTGGTATTAGAGCGGCTTTTAGCTGATGGCACAAGCGTTTACCAGCCTATTAGCCTGAAGATGATACGTTGTGCAATGTATTTTATGAGCTCATAGAAATTTTGATAAGTTGTTGAATAGCTCAAATTCAAACTAGACCCCTTCGTCAGTAATTGTTGTGAAAGACGTCAAAGAGTGGCGACCCATTTCTGAATGAAATCTCTGGCCACTTTTGGGCTGTGATATAAATTGTTGGTGCGGCCGGCTGGAACCTTGTGAACTTAACTGTCCATCTGAACGAATACATAGGTAAATGAATCAATAAAACCACTAGAATAAGTTCCATGAGATTTAGAATTTACCGGAAATATTTAACAGTTGGGCAAATTAGGAGGAGCTTTCGTTCGAAACCTGTATTTCTGAGAAGAATACAATTGGTTACCATGTGCTTCTAACCATCCGCTTTAGGCGTCCTCTTCTTCCTTGTCTGAAGATTCTACCATTAGGCAGAGAGGAATTGGGATCTAGAAGCTCCAACATACATACTTGGGTTAGCTTGTTCTTTAGATCATTCACAGCCTTAGTAGCCCCATAAATCAGCTTAAAACCTTTTGCTTTAAGTCTACTGGAATCTGTCAACAGATACACTTTTTATGCACAACTGAGTATCAGTCGTCGATGAAATTTAGCTAGACCCGGAAACTTTCTAGGTTGTGTTAAATAACTTGGTATAGGATTTTATTCAATAGCCTCTGCTTTCTGGGTCTTTATACATTCAGGAAGTCTCAGTCTTCAGTCTTCAGTCTTCAGTAATAAGGATAGGAGGTCTGTCGACCTATATTAATCCTTGCAGTTTGTAATACTGTGGAGGTCCAATCTCTTTTTGAATATATTAACAGACGGTGCTGATATTACGTGTTCCGGTAGGGAATTCCAGTAATTCACTACTCGGTGCGAGAAACAGAACTCCGAACGTAAACGGTTTGATCTCGGTTTTTGAACTTTCTTCGAAAGTCCTCTCAAATGATCGGTTCTAGACGGAAGCAAAAGATAAGACATGTTAATACCAAGGTCATCGTTCAGTATACGATAAGCCAATATTAGATCAACCCGTACTCTACGGTAAGATAACGGAAATAAGTTAAGGTGTCTCAGTCTGTCTTCGTAAGATAGGCCAGCTAGACCTTGTACCATCTTAGTAGCTCGTCGTTGGACTCTTTCTAGCATATCTGCTTCATATTTGAAACAAGGACTCGCTGCTTGAATCCCGTATTCTAAATGTGGTTGCACATAAATCGGGTATAGTAATCCAAACATTTCATCATCTAAATACTGGAAAGACCTACGAATCGACCATAATACCCTATAGCCTTTTGCAGCAGCAGCCTTACAGTGACTAGTCGTTTTGAGATCATTGCTTAATATAACTCCTAAGTCTTTATAGTTTCTTGCTTTGGGTAGCACGAATCCACGTAGTGTATAGTCATACGATTCATCAGAGATATTTAACTGCATCACTACACTCTTATTAGGATTTACTTCTAGTGACCACCTGTCTAACCATGCCACCAATGAGCTAAGATCGTCCTGTAATACTATTCTATCCGACATACTATGTATGGGTCTCCAAATCTTTATGTTAACATATGTCATCAGCGAAGAGTAGAACGGATGATTTTGCTACAGTTGGCAATTCATTTACATAAAGTAAAAAGAGAAGAGGACCTAGGATTGTGCCTTGGGGAACCCCACATTTTACAGGTACCCACGAGGAGAGAGCCCCATAAACCCTTACCCTTTGTCTCCTGTCATGGAGAAAGTTGCTTATCCAATCGACGACTGTGTTATAAATTCCAAAACGTTTCAGTTTGAATTTAAGACCAGAGTGTGAAACCTTATCAAAAGCTTTACTTAGATCTATGAAAATTACATCCACAGGAGCATTCCGATCCTTTGCCGCAGCCCGCTCTTCTCGTGCAATGAGAAGATTTGTCAAGCAAGATAGGCCTTTCCGAAAACCATGTTGTGCCCTAGAGAAAAGATTTTGCTTTTCAACATAGTTTATAACAGCTATCCGAATGATTTTCTCCATCAGTTTCACAACTGCACTAGTTAAGCTAACGGGTCTATAGTTACTAACTAAATCCCTACTCCCAGCCTTATACACCGGACTTATTATGGCGTCTTTCCAGTCTCTGGGAAGTCTGGACTGTCTCAGAGACATGTCGAATAGTATCGCTAATGGTTCAGCGATTTCACCTGATATGGCTTTCATAATCCTAGGATGAATATCATCGGGACCACTGGACTTATCAGGTTTGAGATGCTGAAGTAGCCTTAAAACAGTATCTTTCTCAATGACTACAGGATCCATCAGCGAGCCGTCACGGTCACAATGAATCATTGGTCGTTTCTCATTACCGATAGAAAACACTTTACTAAAATATTCCGATAAAGCTTCAGCTTTTCCGGCATCATTCTCTGCTAAGATTAACGGATTGTCTCGTATCAAAAGTGATGGAATTCTATCGCTTCTCTTAGTTCGCCTTTTTATATACGAGAATAACCGTTTCGGACTACATCTAGAATCCCTAACCAATTGTTTTTCGTATGAATGTCTAGTCTTGCTTATTAACGCTTTACAGGCATTCCTAATCTTACAATAACTGGATCTGTATTGTTCTAAGCCAGTAGAGATGAACATATTCCAGTGATTCTTCCTTTTTCTAAGGAGTTTCCTGACCGTTTTAGTTATCCATGGTGGACTATTATTCAGTCTTCGCGGTACCAGGTATGGTGTGAACGGGGACGTAACTAGTCTAAATTTACCTTTAAATACAGACCATGCTTCTTCAACTGATATGCTAGTATCTACTAACCAATCTGTCTTAGCAGCGCATTCCTGAATGGCTGATATGTTAGCTTTCCATACATTTGGGCGCGGTGTAACCTGATCGTATAACATGTCCCTAGTTCTAAACGCGAATAACAAAACAGCGTGATCGCTGTTTACTAACGGTGGAAGAATATTTAAGTCGCCAATATCCTCAGTCTCATGAGTGATTACCAAATCCAGCAGAGAAGAACCCTGGTTAACACCAAAACGTGTGGGTTGGGATACATGCTGCACTAGTGCATGCTCCATTATTGTTATCAGTAACCTACTATCAAAGGAGTTTATAGATCCTTCTGTGGTCATATCAGTCCAACTAATATCAGGTGCGTTAAAGTCTCCTATTATCAAGCACCTGGTATTATCACTACAAAGATGAATGTGCTCTAAAACAGAGTCATCAGCTAAGCAGATTGGGCTCCGATAGATGACACCTAGCATAAATGTACTACATCCTATTGCCAACTTACAGCTAATGACTTCACAAGTGCCGCTATCATGGGATTCGCTAGTAAAGGAGCGGATATTTATGCCATTGGCTATATATAACAGGACGCCGCCTCCTTTTCTACATCTATGTCTATCACTCCTGATGCAATGGTATCCAGATAATTCTGGAGTAATGTCTAAGTCATGGACTAACCAAGTTTCTGTCACTGCTACTATGAGTGGCTTTAACCTGTCTACTAGTGCTTCTAGTTCATAGAACTTATTTCGTAAACTACGAGCGTTGGCATATAAAACTCCTAAGTAGAACAGCCTATCCGCACAGGCCTTGGTAGCATTCGCTTCCAAGACCTGACTATCCGAAAACCCACTAACCGGAGATTTTCCTCGCCGTTTTGCCGACAGGTTTCAAGTTCAGCTAGTGCTTTCTTCCTTCTTATTCTATCTTCGAGAGACATGTCAGGTCTAACTCGGATGTCAGAATTGTCGTGACAACGAGCGCTACTTAACAAGAGATCTCAGAGTTTGAACTCCGAAAACACCTATGCTGGTGTGCTTCTTTCATTTTTACCTGATTACTTTAATCCGACTCACATGTTATTCATGTAATTTCAAATCAAGACCGATATTGATTATTGGATGATAAATGACCTTAGGGAGACCTATTATCCAAAGCTGTGCAGTACTGTCTGAAAATGACCTATAGAGTTTCAGGACTGTTGCAGAGGAGCGGCAAAATATTAAAAGGATGTTATTACGGCACCTTGAAGCTTGCAGTAGATGGCAGCATAAAGCGTGCCAAACCACCTAATTATGATTTCTTTAGCTCTGGAAATAATTACCTAAGATTCCTATTTGATAATACTAAAACTATGGACCGATTTAACGATAATTCAAAAGTAATAGTGGTCGAAGGTAATATTGCCTCCGGAAAATCTAACGTCGCTGCTAAGTTGGCTAAATATCTTGATATGGAGTATTTTCCTGACCCAACTGAAGACGACATATATGTTTATAGAAATGTGGAGCCAAATTTTGATATTCGCTGTCACAACTTTTTGCTTCCTGATTATGCAAAATACTATACATGTGAAATGTTTTGGAATGAACCGGATCTCATAAATAAAGGAAAAGGACTATATCTTCAATACCATTTCTACTTAAGACGTTATTGGAATTACTTAAGAGCATTATGTCATTTATTTAATACAGGTACACTTCAAATATGTACTATCCTCTTCCTCAGGTCAAGGCGTTGTGATTGACCGAAGTCCGTTTTCAGAGTTTATATTCGCTGAAGCCATGCATAAGTGCAATTATCTGTCAGAACGGGGTAAATTTTTGTTGATATCTTTTTAAAACCTTAGGATTATTATGGTTCAAACAAAATCACACGATGACTATAAACAACCTCTGGAAACCGCATCTACTAGTGTACATCAAGGCTCCTATTAAGCAAATACGTGAAAAAATAAAGAAACGTAATATCGTAAGTTTGTGTTACTATCTTTTTTCTTACTCACTCGCACCTCTTAGTTCAGTATATGATGTGACAGAAATTCTTATAACACGGTGTTTATCAATTAACATGTTTCAACAGGCAGTAGCTTTTACCTTTGGTTATCGGCATACAGATTTAGTTGTCGCAACACTTAGTAACCATAGCTAACTGTTAGGAATGGTGAAAAACGTAACACAACTCAGTCAGCTACAACGTAAGAGCATACATATACGTCGATCCAAGTTGCCTTACATCATTAGCACAACAAGATGAACACCGGATTTATAAAAGTAGTTAATTCAATAATGGTAATGTATAAAAGAAAGATTGCATATAGAGATATAGTACAGGAAAAAAGAATTAGTTCGTAGAAAGAAAGATATAAGCGATTTTAATCTCATAGTTTAAGGGAAGAAAAAGAGTGTATACACCTACACCGTTGTGATCGATTCTGAGTCATGTCACCCAGAGTCTCCAACCATTACTTATGATAGTCACGTGGACCCCAACCAAGTAGTCTGCATCTACCAACATGGCTCAGACTACAAGTTAGTGACTTCAAGCATTGATGCCACGTTTTGGTTTGACCGCCCCTAACTTTCTTCCAACCATCCCGAACACCGGTTAGCATTGCACGTCGTGGTAATCAGTGTTCAGGCATACGTAATACGTTGCCCAACCATCTCGGTCGATGAAGATTCACAGCCTCATCAACTGGTTTAACATCATTCCCTAACACCCTGTGTTTGACCTCACTATTACTTACCCAGTGATCCCAGCAAGTGCGAGCTATATTTCTACTACAGTTACTTATACTTTTGTGATATTACGCTTCACATCTAAATGATATGCGCAAATCTAGGCGAGTTAAAAGTCCTTAAGGTTAGTAGCACCAAAAGTAGTTTCCTTCCTCTGACTAGGCCTCTTTCTAGGTTTACAGCCTTAATGTTTAAAACGTTTAGCATTGAGATTGTATGTGGAAGTTCTAAAAACCGATTGCTAGTCAGCCAGCCATAAAATGTGTATTAGAAAATTTAACTAAGAAGTTTAAAAAAACTCGAGACGTAAGTTTGATTTACGATTAAAGATACACGGGACTACCAAAAATTCACAAACTTTCTTTGATGCTGGAAATTAATACTTTGTTGAAACTAGCCATCACTTGTCTTTGTATGACATTCACCAAACACTAGCTGTAATTCAGAAGTCCTTCTAAGTTTACTTCATCCGGCTGATTGCTTAATAAATCTTATCAGAAAATAACTACCGAAATCCCTATATGAAGGTAATGTAAATGACAGAACTTTAACGCAGGTGTTTGTATTGGAACGAGTGATATTATCCAGCTACTGTAATCAAAATAAATGAAAAGGGATTCGAATTTATGACCTGTTGAGATCCCAGTGCTTTAATCGTCATATACTCGCCACGCTTCGCAAATCTCTTAGTATGTAGAAGCATATTCACATTTTGGACTTCCTAACAGATATCTTAAATCTGTATTCCATGTAGTTCCCCATTTTGATATGAATGAATAAGATGTAACCCAAAATTTTGGGACTATCGTACTCAGTTCACTTATTTATATTTTCTTGAATCGTATCTTTGATGCCTGATCTTTCCCGACCGTTGTTGCTACCTTGACGTGGTGGTCGGGCTTGCCTATCGTGATGAAGCAACCGAGCTATACTGGCTGGAACAACCGATCCTCAAGGTCCTACCATGTCAGACAGGTCGGTTGAAGAGCGGTAAGACTAAAAGCAACAAACCCAAGGTCCGAAGGCGAAGTCGTACTGCTGACTGTAGAGAGGTGTGACAGCAGTAAGGTGTTTCCCTCGGACAACCAGCATGACAGCGATGCTGCCTTCCCACAAGGAGGGGTGGGGTTAGAAAAGGTCGACCCTAAAAATGCGCACCTCACCTTACCTCACGGATTTCTGCTTTCGGTAGTAAGGCCCTTTGAAGAACGGAGCTAACACGTCAGAAACCTCCCACGAAAAGGCCGTGCACGACCGGCCTCAAGCAGTTGTCCCTTGGGCACTGCGGTCACGCTCTCAGGTCACTGAGACCGCCTCTAATCCAATTTTCTTTTCAGGTACCTCCAGAAGAACCCTTCCACGGTGTGGGCAACCGGGAAGTGATAACCGCCCTCATACCTCTAACAGCACCCAAGACCACTGTATTCATAATCAACCTTCCTCTTCAATTCCTATTATTCCTCCTACATCGACTTTCAACCCTAAACTTCCTCCTTCGGCTTCCTCCTCAAGTGTCACCATAGCCAACGATTCTAGTGCTCAAAACTCTGTCCCAGGTCTACTGAAACCTCGCTCCAAACTACACATTGGAGCTTTCAACGTACGCACTCTATGTCAAATCGGTCAGCAGGCTTCCTTGGCTAAAACCCTAGAGTCTCTTTCCATTGATGTATGCTGTGTCTCCGAAACACGCATACAGGATTCCAGTGTGGTCATTCACTTGACCTCACCTCGGCAAAACGGAGAGCCAACGAGATACACCCTACGTGTATCTGGTGACCCGATGGCCAGTTCTCGTGGACTGGCAGGTGTAGGCATAGCACTAAGCATGAGGGCGGAACAAGCACTGCTAGAGTGGATCCCCGTCAACAGTCGTCTATGTGCTGTTCGGCTAAACGGCTCCGTAAAAACTCGGAAGGATAGGGACACATGTCGTTGCCTTTTCGTCGTTTCTGCCTACGCTCCCACTGACTGCAGCTCAGATGATGTGAAAGATGAATTTTACAGAAAGCTGTCCGAACTTCTTCAGAAAGCTAAACTCTCAGACATAGTACTCGTACGGGGTGACTTTAATGCTCAGATAGGTAGCTTAAACCAAACAGAAAGGCATTTAGGTGAATATTTTAGCATTCCGACACAGCGAACAGATAATGGTGACCGTCTGCTGCAACTGTGCTCAGACAATCGCTTATTTTTAGCAAACACAAATTTTAAGCATAAGGAGAGACATCGTCTAACGTGGCGACCGCCTGCACCAAACCAACGATGGACTCAAATAGACCATATTGCCATCAGTCATCGTTGGAGAGGGTCGGTACAAGATTGTCGCTCATTCTGGAGTACCTGCTTGGACTCCGACCACGCCCTAATACGGGCACGCATCTGCTTGCGCCTCACTGGACGCAAAAAAGCCACAGTAAAAAGACCCATTAGAACCGAACTGAGTAGCGAGGAAACCAAAAGTAGGTTCCAGGAGCAACTGAGGTCACACTTAGGTAGTTGTGAAGACGAGGCTGACCCAGATGTTGCTTGGAATGAAATACAAGCAGCTGTGGAAGCAGCAGTTACATCTATTAGCGACTTAAACCACAGAGTTTCAAAGAACCAGTGGATTTCTTCAAAGTCTATCACACTGATGGATTCTCGCAAACTCGCCCCATCGGGTTCTGAACATGATGAAGAGCGTAAACAAATCAGATCTAGGTTAAGAAAAAGTCTAAGAAACGACCGTGAGCAGTGGTGGGCAACGAAAGCAAAAGAGATGGAAAAGGCGGCGACTATAGGGAACACAAGACAGCTTTACAGACTAATAAAAGAAACTGGAATTAATAAGTCAAGTGTAAGTGAGATTATATCGGAAAAAGACGATACTCTCATCTGCTCCCAGTTCAGGCGTTTAGAACGATGGGCGGAACATTTCAGAGAACAGTTCAGCTGGCCTTCAGCTACTCTACAACTACCCTCCATTCCCAGACAGTGTGAATGGAACATTGAAGTAGGTCCCCCAACTCTTGCTGAAGTTCAAAAGGCTATAGTTAATCTGAAACGAGGAAGGGCAGCTGGTCCAGATGGATTGGCTCCAGAGGTCTTTAAGGATGGTGGTCCAATTTTAGCGATTAGGTTGACTAATATTTTAGCTAAGATCTGGGAGTTAGACGTTATTCCATCTAACTGGTCACAATCACTTATCGTCCCAATATATAAGAAAGGGTCAAAATCATCCTGTGACAACCACAGAGGGATTAGTTTAGCTAATATAATATCTAAAATACTAGCCTCGATAATTATCAGACGCCTAACTAAGACTCGTGAACTGCAAGCACGAGAGAACCAAGCTGGCTTTAGACCTGGTCGTGGGTGCATCGACCACATATTCACCATTCGTCAGATTCTAGAACACAGGCATACGTATCGGCGTCCGACAGTGGTGGTCTTTCTTGACTTAAAAGCAGCATTTGACTCGGTAGACCGCGAGATTCTGTGGCAGTGTCTGTCATTGAAAGGCGTACCCCAGAAGTACATAAACCTTGTAAAGGCTCTTTACTCGAACACTACTAGTCGAGTCAGAGCTTATGGCGAACTGTCATCTACTTTTGCAACCTCAAGTGGTGTCCGTCAAGGCTGTCCACTTTCCCCATTTTTGTTTAACTTCATCATAGATCTACTGATGGAAATAACTTTCTCGTCGACTGAGTTCTCGGGTATTGATCTCCTACCAGGAGGTCCACTTATCGACTTAGAATACGCAGATGACATAGTCCTGTTTAGTGAAGACGCTGACAAAATGCAGAGTCTTCTGGTAGCATTGAGCAACAATGCCAGGATGTTTGGAATGCGCTCCTCTCCCTCTAAATGCAAATTGTTGCTTCAGGACTGGTCTGCGTTAACACCTGAACTAAGGATAGGGAGTGAAGTAGTCGAACGCGTTGACAACTTCACTTATCTTGGAAGTCTGATCAGCCCTAATGGGTTGGTATCGGACGAAATCTCAGTACGGATTCGAAAAGCTCGATTGGCTTTTGCCAACTTGCGTCACCTATGGCGAAGGCGAGATATCCGTCTATCAATAAAAGGACGAGTATACTGCGCGGCAGTCCATTCTGTTTTAATTTACGGCAGCGAAACATGGTCCTCCTTTGTAGCTGACTGACTGACTGCCTGATCTTTCCTATTACCACTAATAATGTCATTACCTCTAACCATGGGTTTTCCCTTCGTCCTGCTAACGGG